AAAAAATTAATCATTCATTTGTGTCCTTTAGTCTTAGTTTAATATTAAATTTTTGTCATCGCCTTGTTTAAATGTAAAATCAATTCTGCACATCACTTATGCATTGCGCCACTAAAGAATTCCCACGCACAACTTCGGTTTTAGTGGGTTTCTCCCACTAAAACCGAAGTTTTGCTTACATGTTACTATCTTGTGCTGTTGTATTTTTATAAATAAACATTATTATTATTAAGAAAATGATCATCTCTTGGGATGGAAGACATATTCAGAGACCGTCATTCTTCACATTGCATGACAGTATCTACCCTATTTTTAAAATCAAATTCCTCATTATTCTGTGTTTCTTCCAATTGTCTTGCTGTGCAGAGTTTATCGCTAACTTGAAAGTTACCTCTTTCGATTTTGTTTTCACTGCGAGCCTTTTTCAGATGTTGAACCAGTATTTCATTTTCCTCTCGGTAAAATGTGAATTCAATTTTATTGGACGATCCCTTGGTGTTTTCTAGCTAATAAATATTATTCAGGTAAGAATAATTTCTATTCGTGCCGAGTGCATTTAATACCGTTGATATCAGGTTTCCAGGTTTATCCGAACGAAGTTCGGAAACAAATAAATGATTTTTGCTATATATTCTTCCCAGTAAAACAAATCTTTGTTTCAAGATTTCGTTTTCATTTTTAAGTTCAGCTATTTTTTTTCTGTGTTCTTCAGTTTTTTCCTAAACAGGATCGATTTTTTTGAGGTATATTTCTATGTAGTCCTTAATTTCAATTTTACTTTCCTCCACTTCAGTTTTCATCATGAGACTTGATTTTTCAAACAACGTATTGTTTGTCAGTTGATTATTCATAGATCATAATTTTGGAGAACCTTCGATAGAAAAGTTCCGTTCGTTTCAATAGAACCAGTATTGCATGATGTTCGCCTGAGCAAAATTCAGCCTAATGTTATCAAGTCTCTTTTACAGTTTGTTTGTTTATTCAACCTCAACTGTCCTTCAGTTTGAAGATTCAAATGTAATAAAAGATTAGAAAAGGCTCAATGTAATGCAATTTCAACTCACATTACTTTTTATAAAACCAACTTTGTTCAGTCGTTGCTTTGCAGTCAACGCACGTTCCACTGTTGATGTCTGCCGCAGTAACAGACAAAACGTTTGGTATTTTACTTTCCATGCGACCACGACCTACCAGCCCGGATTTTGTACTCTTTTATCATTGAGTGTATTACTAAATTATATAACCTGTAGTACGAAAATAAAATATCGACTGGTAACCCTGTTTTAAATTACTTACTTTATTATTGTTGGGTTTGGTTTTAAAAGTTGTTCGACAATTTCATAGTAAATATTTGAAAAAGTGTTTTTTCTGACACGATGAGCAACGGAGAACATGTCCACAAAAAATTTAAAACTGAACCCACAAAGAACAGCAAAGCAAAAGGGGAAACAATTGTGGGGACCGATGAGAAACCTGAAAGGTGCCCTCATTGTAAACAGTTTTTGAATGCTGTTGTGTTGTACAAAGGCCACCCAAATAATTCCAGTGAAGAATTTATAGCATTAACAGATGATAAGCTTTCCCTATTTACAGGAACTGAGAATTCTAGTACTGAGGCAGATGAAATTCCTACTCATAAGGTAAATATTGATGAAATTTCTCACAAGAAAGGCAGGTTGTAACTGGGTAATAACCACAGTGAAAAACCCACCGGTTATAACCTAATGCTTTTCCCCGGAAGGGAAAGTCACCAAATATATAACTAGAAAATTTATTGAAATAAACATTAATTCTTCTCAAACAAATATGATGACATGAAATGTAAAAAAAAATATTTTAAATTAAATAACTTTCTTTGAATAATACTCTTTACTTGTGGTGCCAATTGAAATACCTATATGTTTTAACCAGTTTGTTCACCTTACACTGTATCAAATTTTTTGGGAAGCTTGATCTATAATCTCGCTTAGTAGCAGCAGAGCTTGAAGGTATGCTGTGAAGGTTTGCGATTAACAAACTTCGGAATTTTTATTTAATTTGTTTTTAACAGTTTGCCACCATTCACAAGTAGAAATATTTTTTATCATGACATTTTTGAAAATTATGGATGAATATATTCTGTCATTTGCTCTGCACGACAAAACTTGTAGTAAATAATCATGATATTTTTTTCCAATAAGTGTAGGTACCAGTCCAACTGATGAAACTACCATGTAACGAAACATTTCTTGTATTATAGTTATAGTGTGAAAATTGTATAATTATTATAATGGATATGAACAACAATTACCAGGAAATCAATGTTTTTTTATTTTACTCCAAATATTCATCAAGGAATTGAAATAGATGTCATTCACAGAAACACTACAAAACCATATATGAAATAGAATCAACAAGAAATTTTACTCCCACTTCTCTTCAACTCCTTATTATCACCTTTATGAATAACTTCAAAAGACGAAGCACTCATTTATTTCTTAAGGTTACAACTTTATGTCACTAGAAGAGACAATTTCGCTTTTGCCACATGACAATTCATAAAAATAGTTAGATTTTGTTAGACAAGAGAGAATTGTCTTTCTCAGGAACATAAAGTCATGATTTTATAAAAAAAAAATAAGCAAAATGTTTCATTTCCATAATGAATGTTTGGAGTACCTACGAATTCAATAGGAAAATGTGATGATCTACAAATCTTTGTAAAATTTGTTTCATCTCCCCAATTGAAAGATGTCGAATGCAATGAAATCTCCATTTTATAAAGGAGTTGATGAGTTCAATAAATTACCATATGAGATCAAAAAGGCGAATATTATATATGAGTTACAATTTAAAAAATCAACCAACATATCCAGTCTATTTAACCAGTGTTTCTCAAAATACCACCTAATAACATACTGAAACAAATTTAGCCTAAATCCAGCCCATGTTTTTTTCTGACATGTAATTAAAAATAGAGTAGCAGACAGACTTCCACTTTTGTTGAGTATATATTGATATATACATACGAGTATGTTCATTATAATGTGTACTATTATTATTCAGTTAACTAGTTTAGTGATCCAATACTTTTTCTAAAAGGTTGGTTGGGTAACAGAATCAATTTTTTCTTAAAAAAACAATTGTTTTCTTGCCGACGTTTCGAATTCAATTAAATTCTTCTTCAGGGCTCTGTAACAATGAATTCTCATATAGTATCATAAACTTTTTCTGAGAGATTTTTAAATTATTTTTCAAAACATAATTTTCAGAGTAAAATCAATATTATGAGGAATTTGCCATTTCCAATTCTGAATTACATAACAAAAATCAACAATTAATTGAGAATTACCTAGTAAAAAATGTTTTTTCTGTGGTCGGGTTCTGTCAGCTCAACTTTAAGCTAGCAGATATCTCCGGTGAATGAAGGGCAAAAAATGATGGAATAAAGTACAAAATTTGTCTAAAATTTTAACCTGCTAGCTTAACTGGGGTCTTGATTCTCATAGAGGAATATGAGAAACTTCAAAAGGATGAATGTAATTAACTTCAAAAAATCAATAATAATAATTTTTATACTACACAATATATACAATAATAATAGTTCTAAAAAAAGGTTGGTTGGGTAACAGGATCAATTTTTTCTTATAAAAAACAATTATTTTCTTGCCGATGTTTCGAACTTAATTAAATTCTTCTTCAGGGCTCTGTACCAATGAATTTTCATAAATATACCTTCCACAAAACGATTATTATCGTTTCAATTTCATAAGAAATTATGAGTTCTTGATCAAATTACTCACCGAAAAGTAGTTTTTTTGTGTTGATAATATTACTATTTTAAAAACCATCAGACATATCGATACATATTTAAAAAAACATAAAAATCATTGCAACAACCAAATTCCAACACCAACACAAAACGACATGAAACAAACAAATGGCTTTATCTGTGATTTTTAAAAGGTGGTGTCTTTTTTTTTAATCAATGGCAGAAAGAAAAAGAATGAAAAAAGGGTAAATCATTCGGGTTTTTTACGTATCAAATTGAAATATGCAGTATTAAAGCCATCGACATCTCTTCTAGTGTTAACACTATCGCATATAAGGATATGTATCATTTCGCTCAAAAGTCTTTTGGATAAACATGGTTGAACATATAAAATAGTTGGATGTTCAACAAGAGCTGTGGGGTTTTATATAATCATTTTCTTAGAGTCTCTCATGTATTCTGAAACTCGTGTTTTAATATACCGTCCGGTTTGACCAACATATCATTTGTGATAGCTTCCACAGTTCAATTTGTGCGATATATTGGATTGTATTTCTTGTGGTGTTTTTGTTTTTGTATTTCGAGAAAAAATGCTTTCCAACTGTATTTTCATTTGAAAAGGCCATTTGTTCGGTACTGAGTAGCATTCCAAGTTTATCAGATAAATTTTCTACAAATGGAATTTTGTGATATTTGGATTTCACCCCTGTATTTTGGTATGAGAAATTTCTTTCTTCAATTATTTTTCCAATAGGGGCTCTAGGAAAATTATTTTGTTGAATCAGGCTACGTCATAATTTTATACTCATTTTTTTAATCAATGGGTTCTACTATTTTTATTGTTATGCTGGCAGAACCAAATTGAAACCCTTCACTTTTCAGAAAACTTAAACTTGCAATAATTTGAGGCTCATTTCAGGCTCCTTCATTATGCTATTGAACTTTTTTTGCTCCTCGTTCGAGTTGAATATTTGAGTAATAACCTCAGACACAGATAAAAGCGGAAATATTTTTTTTAAGCATTCCTGAACTGTGGAAAAGATAGATTTTGAGAATTTAAGCTCATGTTAGGCTACTATGATCCCCTATCACCGACTTTCTATGTGTTATTGAAAAATAAATCAGTGGTTTCTGCTTGCTTATCGTTAAGCTGGCAGAACCAAATGGAAATCTTTCACTTTTCGAAAATTTTGATCTTGCAATAATTTAAGGCTCCTTCCTCACCTTATTGACTAATGTTTCGCTCTTCGTTCAAATTAAATATTTGGGTTACTTCCTCAAACACGCATGATAAAAACGAATACTTGAACTGTTGGCAAGATAAAAATTATTAAGAAGTTAGGATCCTTTTGACTCCACCATTGCTGATTTTCATTTGTTGTATGTTTTTATCAGTGGGTTCTGCTAGTGAGTTCTGCAAAATATTCTTCAACAATATGTGAGGCTCCCATGCCTCCCCATCGCCGACTTATCACTGAATTCTTCTAGCTTCACCGTTGAGCTGGCAGACCCCAAATGGAAATCCTTCACTTTTTGGAAACTTTAATTTTGCAAATAATTTAAGGATTATTTTACGCTATTGAACAAGTTTCTGCTGCTCTTTGGAAATACATTTTATTCCAGAGTTATTCCAAAAGATTATTTACGCTTTCAACATGTATGCAGAGGTTATCACCCAAATATTCAATTATAACAAGGAGCAAAAAAGTTTAATATCATAACGAAGATGGCTAAAATGATCCTAAATTTATTGCAAGTACAAAATTTCTAATTGAAATTAGCATAAAATTATCGTCTAAAATTAAATATAGAAGTGTTCTGCCAGCTTAACAAGGGTGGAGAAGCTTTTTCTCACAAACTGATCTATTTTAAAACATATCCTTTTTTCAATTTTCAACTACAGTGTCTTGAAGTTTCAGTTACTCCCGAAAAATTTGGAATCTATTGATGAACTATGATGTGTTCCATGTGCATTGTCATCATCATCTTTTTTTATGGAGTGATTTCTTGTTCAAATCTTATTATAATTGATAAGGTTCTAAAAGACTTTATCATTTAGGAATGCAAGTCAAATAATTAATGCTTAAATGAGAAACTTTTTTTCCTAGATAACATACTTCAGTGTATATGATGCAGAAGGTCATTTATGTGCTATTGATTCTGGACTGATTGAGAAAAACATCCATCTTTATTTTTCGGGATATGTTAAACCTGTCTATGAAGAAGATCCCAGCCCCAACAATGGTATACCTGGGTATGACTTTGGACCAATCAATGAATGGTAAGTTCAGAAAGTTTTAGAAATTTTCTTGTAATAATAATAACTTTGTAAAAGTTCATTTGAAACTATTATTATTATGGTAAACTACAATCGTACAAAACAATTCTACAAACATTACACTGCCATATACGCATTATGTTATAATTGTCATTTGTCATAATTCCCTAGCACAAGTACAGTGCGTTCAAATACAAACTTTCCATCACCCCTTCCCAATTTAAATGTTACAAAAATAAACATTTGACCTGCTAAATAATACATATCAGTTTCATAAGATATCTAACCTACATCTCAAAAATTTTTCTTTATTCAACGGTTTTGTAAACATACCGGACACATTTTTACTTGTTGGGATATATTGTAACATAATTTCCTTTCTGAGACATAAGTCATTTATTAAATGATATTTAATGTCGATATGTTTCAATCGTTCTAAATTTTCAACATTTTTAATTAGTGAAACAGCAATGTTCAATACAACTGATTCACAAACTTTAAATTCACTCAAAATACCCTTGATGTTGATAAGTTCTTGTGAAGTGATGCCAGCTGAGATGTATTCTGCTTCCATCGATGATTGAGCAACACATGTTTGCTTCCTGGAATGCCACGCTATTGGGTTTCCCGCATGGAAGCATATGAAATCACTTACGCTTTTTCTGGTTTCTTGGTCGCCTCCCCAATCAGCATCACAGAAGGCCGTTAACTCCTGCATATTTCCCTTTTCAAATTGTAAACCATAATCTCTGGTATGATATAGGGTAACGTAAGATTCGCTTACTAGCTTCCCATGTACTTTTCTTGGTTTATCAAAAATCTACTCAAGTAAGCAACACTGTAAGACATGTCTGGCCCGCTTACTAAAGAAAGGTGCATTAACTGCATAGGTACTAAGTATCCTTCTGTAAGGAATGTTATTGATAATGGGTTCTTCTTCGTTGGCTTGAAAATTAACTTCCATTGGTGTTGATACTTTGCTTGTTTCGGTCATTGAAAATTCTTCGAATAATCTTATAATAATAATAATAATGATAATAATAAAGGTCTTTTATTAATTTACAGTTATATTCATACATGTGAACTAGAAAAGAAGTAAATAGGCGAGATTCAGTATGGCAATCGGCACCGGAAGGTACAGACTGACATCTGTTCTTCCAGTTGTGTGATTTTTAGGCCTTTTTCGTTTTTATTGAATTCCATACCAAGAAAAGTTTTTACCTCTGTCATCTCTTTAATGTGAAATTCCTCTCTCAAGTCTCTTAGTAGTTCTTGAACTTGGCTTTCTGGTCCTGTAATCAGCCCATTCCCAAATAATATCAGATAAATCTTGTCTTTCGTGTACAAACAATAGTCGTAATCGGAACGTTTAAAATTTAGTTGTGTCATGACTTGGTTGAATTTTATGTTCCAACACTTCAGAGCATTTCTCAATCCATATAGGTAGTGCTCTATTTAGTTTAAGATATTTTGATTCCATTTTTAAACCTTCTGGTGTCTATGAAAATTTCAGTGTCCATAACTCCATTTAAAAATGCTGTTGGTACATCAGATTGATGTAAATTCCACTCTTTTTGCACTGAAGCTGATAAAAGGGGCTCGTATTGTTGATAATCTACAGATTGGAGCATAGCTATATTCATATGCTGTGTTATAAGGCACTTGAAAACCTTTTGCAACCAATCGAGCTTTCTTTGTTCCGTCTTCTTTAGTTTTGAATAGCCACCTGGTGTCAATAGCTCTCTGAACTGTCATTTTGCAGGTTTCCAAGTTTCTAGTATTTCGTGAGAGATTAACTCTTTATCTATTGCTTGCTGCCAATCTGACATTGTACATTCTTCTTACCGGATCTAGTCACAGTAGATTCTCGTTCATTGTAGGATACATGTTCTTCGATTCACTCAACCTCAAAAAGCTATCACAATTTGTTGAGTCTTCATTTTCTCCCTCATTCTCGTGTATACTTTCATTGTCTTCCTCGGTAAATTTTCTAATCATTTGTTCTGGCTGATTTTCTGTAGTTTTATGTGAAGATTTATCGATGTTCATTATTTTATATTCCATGATGCTTTCATCTACTCGTACATCCCTAGATCTTATCACTATTCGTTTTTCTGTAAGCCATAGTCGATAACCTCCACCACAATATCCTACCAGTACTCCTTTTTCTGCTCTTTTGTCTAGTTTGTTTTGCTTTGGTAATATTGTGTACCATGCCCGACTTTCAAATACTTTTATTTTATCCAAGTCACTTTTTCCATGAAAATTTTTTGCAGGTGTTTGACCCTTAGGTAGACTTTTGGTAGGTAATCGATTCAGTTCATCCACTGAACACTTGAGTGCTTCGCACCATAATTCATTTGGAACTTCTGAGTCTATTAGTTTTGTTCTTATTTTATTCAGCAGTGTTCTGTTCATTCTCTCCGCTTTGCCATTTTCTTGTGGGGTGTAAGGGATTGTGTATTGTAAAATTATTCCTTTTTTCAAACAATATGTTTTAAATCTATTCTCCACCATTGTCGAATCTCATAGCTTTTACTTTAACGTCCTTTTGTCTTTCAATTTCTTGTATGTACCTACTATATTAGTTTCTGATCAGCCTCATCTTTTGTTTTTAATGTTTTGATAACAACAAAATGTGAGTAGTCATCAATTATTGTTTGAAAATATTTCGATCCATCAAAAGCTACTTGATTAAGTGGTCCACAGACATCACTGTGTATTAAATCACCAATATTTTTGGTTCTCCTCTCAGATTCTTTGGAATGGTAATCTGGTACCCTTACCTTCAATACATGTTGAACACATTTTGTCCATATTTCGTAAGCCAAGTTGTGTTAACACTTCTCTACTGGGATGGCCTAGTCTTCTGTGCCACAGGTCACTTGCTATTATTCCATATTCACCCTTATTTCCAGGTGCTTCCTCATTTACAACTTTGTCAGCTGTTGAAATATATAATCCTTTTGAGTAATCACAATTCAGAAGGAAATTTTCTCCTTTTATCTCCATTTTGTGTTTCTCCATGATTATCTTGCATCCTTTTTCTGATAGATAGTAAATTATGCTGCATATTAGGTACTGTAAAGGCTTCAACAGACACCTTTTTTCCTTGGCATTCAAACTTCAAAGTTCCTTTCTTATTAGTGTTCAAATTTTCACCATTTACTATCTGGATTGTTACATACTGGGATAGAGATTTTATTTCGATCATGTGTTTCTCAATATCTTCTCTCACAAAGTGGTTACTCGCTCCCGAATTAAGAACAAAATATATCTTGTCTTTGATATCACATGAATTTGCTGCATATAACTGTATTTCAGTTTCATTTCTTTTCTCATCAGCGTTATTTGCCTGCTGCTTATTTTGTTGGCTGTAATTTCTACTTCTCGTACCTCGATATCCTGGTCTTCCTCTACCTCGGCCTCTAATATTTTTAGAACATTTCCCAATGAAATTATCTGTACTTCCGCATCTGTATCATCTTCTGTTATCAGTTATCGTGAAACTTGTCTCACTGTCATACTTTTGACACTCCTGTGACAGTAACTTTAATTCTTTATCTAGTAATCTAGCTTTTGCAAAATCTTTGGTCAACTTATCAACTGTTTCTAGAGCTGTTATGATTGTACCATATTTTGGTGGTAATGTAAAAAACAAATGACATACTCTATCACTTTCATCTTAAAACAGTTCCATGTTCTTTCAGCTCTCGAATGACTGAGTCAAACTTCACAAAATGATCTTCTAATTTTTCCCCAGATTCTGACTTTAGATTTATAAGCCTTCTCCAAGTTGATAATTTGGTAAATGAACTCGACCTGGCAAATACAGCTTTTAGAGCTTCAACTTGTTGTTTTGCATTTTTGCAGCCTTTGACAATGTCCAAATGTTTATCAGACAATCCCTGAACTATAATTGATTGAGCTTTTGTGTCTTTCTTATGCCAGTCCTTCTTTTCAGCTTATGTTGCCGCTTCATTCAGCTCTGTTTCCAAAATTTCCTTACATAGTCCTTGTCTCAGAATTGTTTGAATTTTGAACCACCATTTATTGAAATTGTTTGCCTCCAAATTTGGAACAGGGAAGCTTGACAGTCCCGACATTTTTATTTTTCGTGATGACAATAAAAATGATTTCTTGTCACTGATTTCAGCACGGTTTTCTTCTCACTGGATCTCTAGAGTCGCCACGAATCTGGGCTCACAACCTTCTAGAAATTTCCTTGTAATAATAATAACTTTGTAATAGTTTATTTGAAATTATTTTTATTATTGTAAACTACAATCGTACAGAACAATTCTACAAACATTACACTGCCATATATGCATTATGTCACACTTGTCATTTGTCATTATTCCCTAGCACAAGTACAGTGCGTTCAAATATAAACTTTCCATCAATCATACACTAAACATTCACTTTTTCTTTTACTTCAATGAAAGTTCCGTGAATGAATACTTTTTTTGGATGATATTAGCATTCTGCTATTATATATGAAGTGTAAAACTGATTTATAATTCATGAATTGCTGCTTGCTTGCCATTTCAATTTTTTTAAATAATTTGTCAATAATAATAAGTCAGTATGTTGAGAGGGATTTTGCTAATAAATTGATGGATGTAGCCGTTACTACATGGTAAGAGATCATCATGAAAACTGAGAAATAAAACTTTTTTTTTACCGCTTTCATTTGTAACTACTGTTACTAAAGATTTGTCTAATAAGGACATCTTCAAACAATTATAATTGTGGGTTTTTAACGTTAAGCTCTCAGAATCACCACAGACAAAAACATTTTGTTGTATCAGGATCTTAGATTTCTATTGGTCCCTATCGCCGATTTTCTGTGTTGTTTTTTTTTTATTATAGTTAACTCAGTGGGTTTTGCTAGTTTTACTGACAACCTAGCAGAAACAACTCAAAATCCTTCATTTTTTGGAAATTTTGTACTTGCAATAAATTTAGGATTAGGAATTTAGGGTATTCTAGCCATCTTCTTA